TTTTTGATTTCCAACTGCCAATGAATTTTTTTACGTGCGCAATTATGTACACGGGTGTCCAATCTCACTACCCAGAGACCAGGGGGAATTACTAGAAGTCCAAGTCCACGTTTAAAAATCATAGCTCTTACCAGGGATTGAACCCGGAACCTCTAGCACTCGAGGCGGACACCATGCTTCGAGGCCAAGCAGCGCCCCTACTTTACCGTGAAACAGTTGTCCACTCAATATAAATTTAGTGGTACCTCAATATACGTACGATTTTGACGTTCGACTTTGTACTCGTCCTGTTTATTCGGTAAAACTTCTGTTTGGTATACAGCAGTTGTTTGGGGTACGACCCGCCTGCTACAACTTGTATGAGTCGAAATTAGTCACGATACTGTACGCTATCCTTGTTTATCTTCCTTGAGACCGAGCCGCGGGTAAACAGATGTCAGTGAGTTGGCAGAGGAGCATCACCCCAAAAATGTCCAAAGAAACTGAAATAGCATCGTTTGCATTGAGCAGACAGTGTCACATCTCCGAAAAAGTCTGAAGGGAAGGCAAACGCAAATTTCTATCGACATTTTTCTATCTGTGTGGAAAACAGCAACAGTGATCTGCCTCTCCAAAAACGCATGTCGCAAGAGTCGAGTAATTGGGGACTTACTTCGGAGTTGGGATGCTTTTGCCTGAGAGGCAAAGAACCAACAGTAAGTATGTAAACATGCCATATTTGTGAAAAGGATCAGCTTGCAACACTCAGCTTCTGGAATAAGACTAAAGTCCAGGAGTGGACGAACACTTAGAACTTTCAGCCCGAGATTCAGCAAGTGAACGCGAAGGAAAAAAAAGAGAAGAAGACGAAATATTCTTATTAATTATTATTATTATTAACTGACGGAGACATTTCCGTATTTCCAGACGACAGTTTTATGTTGCACTGTGAGGAGTCACTAGGCATGGCACTCACAGCCCATGGCGATGGCGAGTGTGACTAGCAAGACCCACTGGGTCTTCCACGGTTATAGCATGAGATTTCATGACCGTTGTCAAAATTTGTGTTTAGTCTGTTTCTTCTCAGATGATCAGCTCTCATCCTTGCTGCAGCCACGAGTAATAGTAGCAGTAGCAGCAGCAGTAATAGTGTAGTGATGGTAATGGTGATAGTAGTAGTGGTGGTGGTGGTAATGGAAGTGATGGTGCTAGTAGTGGTGGTGGTTTCGGTAGTGGTTGTGGTGACCAAAAAAAAAATTATATTTGAAATGAATTAAATTTACAGATGCTTGAAAAAGAACTGTTAACAGATACTTATTAAAAAACTGTTAGCAGATACTTGAAAAAGAACTGTTAACAGATACTTGAAAAATAAAACTTCTATACATCGGTCGGCGTCTGTGGCTTAGGCATTGCAAACGCGCTTCGTAATGTCAGGGCGCCGAGTTCGATCCGTGCTGCGGGCGGTTTGTCTTGCGATGGTTTTGACTGTGGTACCGAGAGCCGACGGTTTACAAGCAATCGCAAACTACTAGACGTAAATTTGACTAGAAAAACCACAACAGTCAGAAAGTGCTGGGGTTGGTTCTGCAACGTCCTGTAAAGAATGCGCAACAAATTTGTATACATGATTGGTGGGTGTCTGTAGCTTAGGCGTTCTGCGCGCTCGCTTCGTATTGCTGAGGTGCCGGGTTAGATCCCAGTGGAGGCTATCTGGCAGCCCATCGCCTCACATTAGTTTCGATGGTGACATCAAGAGCCGACCACGCAGCCGAAATAAAAACCCACTGAATGTAGAATTACCAAATAACATCATAAACAGCTGAAAATCAAATGCTGGGGTTGGTTTTGCAACGTCCTGTAAAGGACACACAACTCAGTATGATACTCGTTTTAGAAAACAGGGGAAAAAAAGGGGGGAGGGGAGGGGTGAAGATCACCAAAGTTTCCAGGTGGCAGGCAGACACCCACCTCCTCCCCACCACCCCAGAACAGAATTGTTTTCGAGGAGTTTCAATGCACTTGAGCCCTCAGCTTTGCCCCCCTCCCCACCCCTGGCTTTTTTCACTAAGTATACAATTCTATGTGAAAAAATTTCAGGCGGCGTAGCGGAAACACCCACCTACATGTTAAATGGCATCATCCAGCCCGATATTCGCCAGAACTGGGAGCTGGCCAACTGGACGACCTTCATTGAACCGCTCCTGGCCACCCAGTTGTTTGATGCCATTGATAATTTGGTGGACAGCCCACATAATCTGGTATGTCTCCCCGCTTATTTCATTATGAGATCTTTTAGAATACAGTTAATATATATATATATAAACACGCACATATATGCGTGTATGTATGTGTGTTTGTTAGGAATTACTTATGTTATGTTGTTACGACTGGCGTCATTGAAGACTGATAGACGCATGCATGCTCAAGCGAAATTATTTTTCTGATATTTGTGTGTGTCTAAATGTGCGTGTATGGGTTTGTGTATGTGTGCGTGTATACACACACACACACACACACACACACATATATATATATATATATATATATATATATATATATATATATATATATATATTTGTGTGTCAGTTCTGTGGCTAAGTCGATGCGAACGCTTCGTAATGCCGGGATGCCGGGTTCGATCCCAGCTGCTGGCCATGCGCCTTGCGTTGGTTTCGACAGTGGTGTCAAGAAAGCCGACCGCCCAGAAAAGCAATGGCAAACTACTGGACGTAAATTTGCCTAGAAAAACCAAACAATAGCCAGGGGATGTTGGGGTTGGTTCAGCAAAGTCCTGCAAAGGATACGCAACTAACCTAAATATATTTGTGTGTGTACTTTTCAGATTACTTATTGTATGTTACTTTATTACTCTAAGAAAGCCACCGTGGTTTAGAGGCTAGACGCTCGCCTGCGGATCGGAAGGTCGTGAGTTCGGTTCCTGAGGGTGCCGAACTTTGTTTTTCTCTCCAAAAATGACTTTGCTCCCAGGTCCACCCAGCCTTCAATGGCTACCAGGTACAGTCATGGGAAGTAAAGGCGGCTGGCGTAAGGTCGGCCACATCACCCACCAAGTGCAGTTTGGTGTATAAAATATAGGTCTAGCCCTGTATACCCAATACGCCTGAAAGTCGTGGACAAAGGTCCTTTCTATTTTTTGGGGGCGTTAATGTTAAAACTGTCGACATCATTATAGACTGGCATTCCTTTGCATGTTTAATCGTTATTGTTATATATATATATATATATGGCGGCGTCCGTAGCTAAGGCGTTGCGAGTCCGACTCGTAATCCAACGTACCGCGATCGAAACCCACTGCGGGCTTGGTGGATTTTTATCGTGGTATGGGGACGTCGCAGGTCGACCCAGCCTCAAATGGGTACCAGGATGGGCTGTCCTGGGAAAGTAAAGACAGCCGGCGTAATGCTGACCACATTACCCACCGAGTGCTGATGGTCTGTAAAAATATGGACGCTCTTCCCATATGCCCGATGCGCCGAAACGCGTGAAAGGGATCTTTCTTTACTTTACTATATATATATATATATATATATATATATATATATATATATATATATATATATATATATATATATATATATATCATCATCAGGTGCATTGCGGACTAGCGTGGGAGATCATGCCTCTCCATAATCTGCGATCTCCTGCAGCATGTATCAGTTCGTGTGCCGACACACCTCCATGCCATGCAACAAGACTGTCAAGAATCTTCTCTCGTTGTCTTCCTCTATCTCTCCTTCCACAGATCTTTCCAGTGGTCACAACATGTTCTATTTTCCCTCTTCTCATAACAAGGCCAAAAAATGATGTCTCCTTCTGATGTCTGTGATAAGCTGTCTTCGGGCTCCCGCCTCTTTCAAAACCTCGTGGTTGCTCTTTTTTGCTGCCCAAGGTATTCTAAGCATTCTTGTGTAAAAGCACAGCTCTGAGGCATCAGGAAATTGTTTGGACTGCCTACCGATTGTCCAGGATTCACAGCAATATGTTAAAACCGAATGTATGTCTTCTTCTTCTTCTTCTTCTTCTTCTTCTTCTGCCTTTTTATCCCCCAATGGAGCATAGGCCCTCAACCAACTCACGCCAAGTCGTTCTATCCTTCACCATTATATGGAGCTCTCCCCATGTCCTCCTAATCTTTCTAGCCTCATTCTCCAGCTCTCTTCTCCATGTGTTTTTTGGCCTTCCTTTTTTCCTATGCCCCTGTGGGTTCCAATGCAAAGACATTCTAGTTATGCTGTTCTCCTGTTTTCTCAGTGTGTGCCCTATCCAACGCCAGCGTCTTTTCCTCACCTCCTGATCCACTGGAGCCTGTTTAGTTCTCTCCCAAAGTTCTACATTAGTTATTCTATCATACCATTTTATTCCCTCTATTCTGCGCAGGCACCAGTTAATGAATGTCTGTAATTTATTAGTAATTGCCTTCGTTGTTCTCCATGTTTCCGCCCCATACAATAGTACTGATTTGACATTAGAATTAAAAATTTTTAGTTTAGTATTTCTTTTAATTTCTTTTTACCTCCACAAATTCCCTAGTGCTATGAAAGCCCCTCTTGCCTTTTGTATTCTTATTTTAATATCTCTATCAGTTCCTCCATCTTTATCTACATTACTGCCCAAATAGGTGTACGACTCCACGTCTTGGAGTGGGGTGCCATTAAGAAAAACCACATTACTATTTGCCTGATTTATTCTCATTATCTTTGTCTTTCCTTTATGGATTTTCAGACCAAGCTGCAGTGATCTCGCATTAAGTATATTTAATTTATCTTGTATCTGATTCCGTAAATGGGACAGAAGGGCATGTAGCAAGCAAAAATTCTTTTTCTAACTCTCCATGACAAGGATATATATTGCACAAGATGTTCTTTATTTAAAAAAATGCATTTTTTTTTCAAGTATATGTTAACAGTTCCTTTAAATATATAAATATATATATATATATATATATATATATATATATATATATATATATATATATATATATATATATAGTGTAGCAATGTGTGTGTGTGTGTGTGTGTGTATGTCTAGGGTAATTTATTTTATTTACACGGTAGACATGATTGCAGACCGACATCCCTATGCTTGCTCACACCTTTTTCATTCTTCTGCTGTGCTCACAACTAGCTTGGCTGCTGTTAGGTTATTTTGGGGGTTTCGTCGCAGCAAGATGTTAACATCTAATTAGTCGCCTTTTACGACATGCTTGTTAAGACGGCATTTGGTCTATTCTCTTCCCTCTCCCCTTGCTCCCATTTGGGGACCGGCTAGCTCAATCCACTGACACATCAATCATCCTAATGTATCTTCACTTGCTGGTTCCTGTGTGCATCTGGGGCACGATGGGGGTGGATACAATTGATAATTGGTGTACATGGGATATTTGAAACACATAAACACAGCGTCAACATTTTGATGTCCACACGACACTGGACTTGTCAAAGCTTATTTCCTCACGATCACATTTAATAGAGAATTGTTTCTGAATGCCAGTCGCTAATCAAGGAGAGACAGGACGAGTAGTTAGCGAGATGACAGGAGGTACCATCAGTAGGAAGACTCTTCTCTAGCTGTTGAGAATGGAGACGAAGCTAGCATGAAAGTAAAAAAAAAGTAAAGGACCCTTTTCCACGCCTTTAGGCGTATAGGGCATATAGGGCTAGACCTATATTTTTATAGACCGTTTGGCACAAGATGGGTGATGTGGTCAGTATCACGCCGGCCGCCTTTACTTTCCCGGGACTGCACCTGGTACCCACTCAAGGCTGGGTCGACCTGGGAGCCAAGGTCATTTTTGAAATAAGTCCGGCTCCGCCAGGGAGCGAACCCACGACCTTCTGATCCGCGGCGAGCGTCTAGCCGCTCGGCCACGGCGACTCCCTAGCTAGTATGAGACTGCCTTTAATTATTGATGCCAAATCTTGTAACAAGCTTTGAACAGCCAGGCTCCATTATAAACAGCACTAGAAACTTTTAACAGACGTAAAAAAAAAAATAGAAAATGCATAGCAATGCAAACGTTACACAGCATTAAACTCTTATGGCTAAGCACCAGCAAGGAAATTAAATTCAAACTTTTAAGAGCGTAAATCTTTCCTGTAGCAACATACGGATTTGAGTCGTGGACTATCTCGTAGCCATTAATAAAGAAAACATAGACTCTTTAGCTGAAATGATATAAAGAAAAAATATCAGAATACCGTGGAAAAGAATATAGAATACCGTGGACAAGAATATAGAATACCCTGGAAAAGAATATAGAATACCCTGGAAAATAATATAGAATACCGTGGAAAACGTATTCTTTTTTCACGTGGACTTGGACTTATAGTAATTCTCCCTGGTCTCTGTGTATTGAGATCAGACGCCCGTGTGAATTGCTGCGCACGTAAAAAAATCGCTTGGCAGAAATCGAAATAAGTAGCCTAACGGCGCTGCCCTGGCACAATTTTGAGTTAAAATTCTACCCAAAGTATTTCAGGATCCTCGCCGGTGCTACAGAACCTGTGCACTGTGCTGGGCTTCTTTGGGCTCAGACTCGAGTTAGAAGAAGAAGGGAGAACTTATGGGTTAATACGCGTGTGCCATGATGTTGATCCGTTGTTCAATTTCAAACTTCAAACACAAAACATTTACCAGGCATTGTGCCTACTACTGTTCTTGGTTCTTCGTTGGTGACTGCCCTTTCTAGTTTTCCCGCTGCATTTCTTATAAATCTTTTCTCACTTGTCATTTTTTGTTTTTCTCTAGGGCTATCCATGTCTGACATTGAAAGCACAAAGTTGGTACATTTTTCGCATTTATCGGCTGATTTGTGTGTGTTGTGTGTGTGTGTGTGTGTGTGTGTGCGTGTGTGTGTGTGTGTGCGCGCGCGCGTGTGTGCTGATATTTTGATGCCTCAAAAGTGGGACTGCTTGTTAAGTTATTTTGTTGACCTTCTGTATTCCTTGTTCGATTTCTCTGCCCAATGCTCCCTCCTCAGTGAGTACACTGCCTAAGTACTTAAACTCTTTAGCTTTTTTTAATGTCTTTGCTTTAACAGGCAGACAGATTGGCTGGATCTGCACTGCTCGATGGGGAATTGAAACATCTCAAGGCAGATGTGGTTAGAGCCCTTTGGGATCAAATAACGAAGTCAGAAGAGAAACTAGATTATTATGGGCTGGAGAGAAAGATGCACCTGGGTGTGACCAGAGGGTTCGGCCAGCACACGACGCTCATAGAAAAGGCAAAACGGACATACA